GGACGGGGGGGGGGGTGGGTACATATAACCAGATCTAAGGTTTTTATAAATATCTTATGCTCATTGAGGCTGCATGGCTTTGATCAAAAATTAAATATTTGTACAATTACGTACAATTTAAAATAATCAATTTCTATTTTAATTTATTTTAAAATGTATTGTATTTCTGTGATGACAAAGCTGAATTTTCAGCGGCCATTACTCCAGCTTTCAGTGTCACATGGTCCTTCAGAAATCCTTCTGATATGCTGATTTGGTGCTCAAGAAACATTTTTTATTATTATCAATGTTGAAAACAGTTGGGCTGCTTTTTATGGAAACCACAAAACATTTTTTCAGGATTATTTGAATACTTTGATAAGAACAGCATTTATTTGGTAAAAAAAAAAAACTGCATATGGGTTTGTAATGACAAGATTATGAGTAAATGACTAAATGTATTATTTTGGGCGGACTATTCCTCTCATAGATTATAACCTCACACCATTAAAACAACTACTGAAAACAGAGAAGTTGGAGAGATTAATATGTTAAGACCTCAGAGCCCTCACCCTATTCAATAGATCGCATAGTTTCTGCATATAGAAGACCTACATACATCCTCAGTCTCCAGAGAGGATCTCTAGTGTCTAACATTCACTACATGACCTATTACTGATTCCCCCCCATACATTAGACCTTGTGTTATAACGATTTTCCCTCTCCCTCATTCTCATTTTTACCATTTTTCTTTTTAATTCACCTCTGTCTGAACAGTTTTTTTAATCATTCATAATCATTCATGGATATTCCACAAGTTATGGCACTAAGATGAAGTAAATGACAGTTAAAAAAGGTGTGCATGCACACAAACAAACAGCCATCTAAATGAGGACATGAAAGACTTCTCTTGTTTTTATATGAAGTACATTCTAATTATTAGAGACCAACCCAAAGACAAACCCTTACCTATGTCAAGTGGGCCTAAAAATAGATAAAGTGATATGTATACCCCAACTGGAACTTAATGACTAATAATGGTTTATGGACCCCATTTGCACAAAAGTCTACTGTACGACTCTTTACATTTCCAAAGCACATTCTGGCTTCACCTTCTGTCCTTCACCTTACTTTCTTTCATTCCTCTTCTGAACCTCAGCTCGGCCACGGGGGCAGGTGCTCCATCATTGAGATACTGAACATAGAAAGATGCTCTCAGAGGTTCCACCCCACTGTGAAGGAAACACTAACATCTGGGCGCTCTCCAAGTTGGACTGGGCAGGTGATTTGCCAGGTACGCAGAAATAGGTCCGTGTTCTACTGACCTGCTGCACTACTGTGTAGAAGCTACACAAGCTGGACCATAGGTAGAGGCACTGATTCCCAGATCTGAGACAATTCCCTATCAAAAGGATCCCTATTTTTTTAAATTCATACAAAAGGTGTGATTTGGTAACAGCTTTTAAATTATTAAATGATTCTCTAATTAGTACGCCAACTCTTTACATTTCCAAAGCACATTCTGGCTTCACCTTCTGTCCTTCACCTTACTTTCTTTCATTCCTCTTCTGAACTTCAGCTCGGCCACGGGGGCAGGTGCTCCATCATTGAGATACTGAACATAGAAAGATGCTCTCAGAGGTTCCACCCCACTGTGAAGGAAACACTAACATCTGGGCGCTCTCCAAGTTGGACTGGGCAGGTGATTTGCCAGGTACGCAGAAATAGGTCCGTGTTCTACTGACCTGCTGCACTACTGTGTAGAAGCTACACAAGCTGGACCATAGGTAGAGGCACTGATTCCCAGATCTGAGACAATTCCCTATCAAAAGGATCCCTATTTTTTTAAATTCATACAAAAGGTGTGATTTGGTAACAGCTTTTAAATTATTAAATGATTCTCTAATTAGTACGCCTGTTTGCAGTAATTATGCTTACTATATATATATTTATTGCATATTGCAAAAAAGCTAAAAGCGATTAAAACAGCAAAAATCTTAAAATAAATGATGATTGAGGTATAAGATGTATATAGATCCACTCTATCCTGAAAAAGAAACCAACTACAATTATTATTTGAGAATTGATATTTCATCCATTGACTAAAATCTTGTTTTACTCAACATTTCAGAAAGAATCAGTGCTTGAAACTGATTTTCCTTTGTCAAGCTGTCAAACTAGCACTGAACTCACGCATCATTTGGAGCAAATTGATCAAACTCTTTCTCTGGCTTCGGTGTGAGATATTCTTTTAAACCGTCATACTTGTATCGCACTTAAACCAAAGCTCAACCACACAAGATCCCTCGGTAACCTCAAAATTATTTTCTGACAGAGTTTGACATATGTCAGACTGTGAAAAACGCAGACACTTCATTTCCTCCGAACAGTGAGCTCAGATACGCTTTCCTTTTTTTTCAACACTATGATGGAGCTGCGCTTCTTTAGCAAGCTCTCAGTGGAAAAGCACTTTCTTCACCAAACTTTGAGAAAAAGGGATGCTGAATGCTGGGAATTAAAATATTGAAGGAAACCGAGAACTCATGCAGAGACGGCAACAACTATACGCATAGTAAAAATTCACAACACAGGTCAGATGAGGTATATGCAGGCGAACCACAATACTTTCAGAAGATGACACACACAGACAAGCGCGAACATTCAAACGGTCGCAGGATCCCTCTATCCTTTCCACATATTCACATTCATTACGGCAGTACACGGTGGGACATGACAGGCAGCACTTCAACAGTGTGTAAGCGAAAGGAGGGGGCGACTGTGTGCGAACGTGAGCAGCAGCCATTACCTGTTAGCGAGCAGCATCGTGAAGGTCACCTGACTCATGCTCTGAAAGGCTGGCAGCAGTTGGGCCCAATCCCACTCCCTCTCACCCATAGAAGCCTGTTGATAAATGAGCAGTGAGTATTGTTCGTTATTAATCAGAGTTAATATGATCAGTAAATTACTGCTCCAGCTGGGCTGGACTAACCAAGGAGGGGGGGTCCCGAACAAGGCCGCCCCAACACGATCTATCCATCATGTCTGCACAAGAAGGTTTTTATTCCAATAAGACAGCAATTAATTTATAAATCCATTTGGGGAGGGATGTACCATCATTTATAAAAAGATAAATCAATTTTGCAAGGGGAGTCGTTATTCTTCTCGCCGAGCTGCCCAAGGTTTCCCTCACCCACGAGTGGACCGTCCCTTTGTTAGGGAGCCAAATCAAATCCGATTGTTTTGATAGCTGGAACGTCACTCTTAACTTGAAGCTGAGTTTTTTTTTTTTATTATTGACAAAAGGACAGGAGCGTGCCAGCCCCTCCTATAGCTATGTTATGATGCTAAATCATTTTCAATAAGAGTAATTAACTGTGAGCTTTTGTTCTGGACATGACTTAGACTATGCGGTGAAAGTTATTTTTGGCAACAATGATAAATAGAATTAAGTATATGTCAATATGTGCTCAAAAATCAATCGTTTGAAGAAATTATTAGTACAGGATCATTATTTAAGGCAGAGATTTTCAAACTCGGGCTCAGAGAAAAGTTCAGAGAAAAAGTAGTTAAAAAAAACAAAACAACTAACTAAATAAATACTGTATCACATGTTTATACATAAAAATATAGCCAACTTGATCATTTCCCTTACAAGGGAATCACATATTTTGGGGTCAATGGCATTACAAAAAACCCTGAATTAACGTCCACATTATCTGCCATAAGATAATGACTTAAAGTGTACGCTCATCATTATCACTGAGCCTCATATTATACTGTTAAGATGATTTTATATTGCTAAGATGATTTATAGAACATGATTCAAGGATTGCAACACTTTCTTCAGTGGTTCAAGTCAGATTTCTGCACTCAAATCCTATGGGTGACATCAAACTCATTTTGAAGTACACATATCAAAAAGCTTGAAACGACAAGCTACAGGCTAGGAACACACACACACACACACATAAAAAAAAAACCATAATTATTTTGCCAAAAGATGAAGGGTGAAGTTAATTTCTAAAAATGAATGAATTGTGAGATTGAAGTCTTTAAATTACATCAAAATATCAGTTGGGAGCGGCCAGCTAAGACATTAATAGATTAGTTAACTGGTTAAACACATTAAAATACCAAAAGCCTGAAACATCTTTCATAAAATGGATGAGCTTAATAATGAATTTGCTATTAAGGGCTTAAATTGGGAAGATTCCATCAGGCTTTTTTTCGAAATCTCACCTATCACAGCAAAGCTTTCGTGCCTTCTGCAGCTGCATGGAGGCCCATTTGGGCTACTTCTCTTCCAGGCCCTGGAGCACCTTATGGACCAGAGGCTTGGGAACACACTTCTACTGGCCTAGGCTGACCTGCAGACATTCTGATAGCAGACTCAGCCTATCCTTGGCCCCTCTCTCCAGGGGCTGTCCAGACAAGAGCTCCATTTTCTAGATCCTGACAGAGGCTGCCCAATAAGACCCAGAGGAGCAGGCCGGTAGACCTCAGCTGTCTGGCATGCTGGGAAAGCCTCTTCTCTGCCATGGTGAACAGGAAGCGCACAGGCAGTGGAAGGAAGGCTATGGTTGACGGAAGGTGGGTGAAGATGAAAGAGAGGGCTTGCATAGCTTGATTCATGCTGTCTGATAAGAAGAGAGAAAAACAATTAGGGTTGGTTCGATTTTTTTAAAGCCTTAAATAAGACTTCACAGTTTTCAGAGGTTAAAAAATGGTTTAGATGTTTTATAAATAAATGAACATTACTGTTAATAAGGCTTTACTTACTCTTGCTGGTTTCATTAAACTTAGGATCTTGTGGAATGTAGTTCCACTCTTTTGGAATTTTGCTTAGGACATTTTCTGGTATGTGCTGTCGAACCAGGGGTCCCGACTGGTCTTTGCATGCCTGCATCATGCTGACCAGGTGGATCAAAAGTTTGGTAGTGGATTCACAAACAATGGACCTGATGCATTTAAACAAAGTCGGCTCCTCTTTACTGGAGTCTGGAAGAAAGAGAATGGTCTAAATTATAGTGATTTAATAATTATATCAAACTTGTTTTTGTAAATTCATTAGATACTGTGTAAAAACAATCTTATTTCTTTATGATTATATCATATTTGGTCACAGGACATTACCTTAAAGAAGAAGAGAGACAGAACTCATTGTTTCTTCATCTATCAGCAATTTTTCTTTCCCAATAAATCTGTTTTTTTGTTTTTTTTATTTTATTATTTTTTTAAAAGGTAATAGATTTCAGTTGTTTCTTATTGTTGTATGACTGTTGCATTAAAATTGATCAAACCTACATTATTTTTTGCAGTTATTTAAATGACTTTTATGTATAGATTGTATTGTTTTACTCTTGTCCCAGACACAGATATGATGTAAACAATTAGCAAAAAAAAACATATATAATTTCATTATGTATTGTGTAAAAAAATGATTTATATACATTTTTCCTCAATGTTTTGATATAGTATGCCTCACTGAGTTGTCATTATGTCATGGAAATGACACAAGTTCTAGGGAATCAAGGAAAAGCAAAAGGGCCGAATTCTCCTGTAATGCATATATTTCCATTTTTGGACATTGTTAGCAAACAATTAAATAAAACAAAGCATTTTTAAAAAGTGCGTTTTAAGGGAGTTACATTTCTAAACATCCACAGTGCCAAAAAGTACAAGTAGAAGAAACAAATAAATAATTCTAATATGGATCATTCTCCTGACCAGCCCAATTAGCTCTGCTAAATGGCACAATCAAGATGCTAAGCAAGCTCTATAAGATTATCTTTAGGGAAGAATGGACATGGTCAATTAAGCCAAAATCACAACACCTTACATCAGAATAACAGCATACAACACATACTCTCCTGCTCCCTCCTCTGTCATTTGTCTAATTTGTGCAACTATAATTACCGCTCACATGTAATAAAACACAAAACATGAGAGCTTCAGCCTGGATTAAAGCCCCTGAATCAAAGCGATTCAAAAGGTGTCAGGTCATAATTGCAGTTTCTATGTCAGCATGCAAAATCAATACAGTAACCATTAACACAAAGAAAAATGTTCATGCTGTGGCTATTGCAGAGAGGAACAAGGAGAAGGCTCAAATGTAAATAAATAAGCAATCAAAGAGACAGCTGAAGGTTTAATTATGGCTTTGATTTGATGATGGGCTTCCAGCTGGTCAGATTTGATATTGAGGCAATTAGGGGACACAATAGGGGCACACGGTGATAACGGTTTCCAACTGGACTGTAACTGAATGGCCACATCTGACTAAAATTGTGTCCTTTGAAGTCTAAACAAATGTAGGACAGAGCATGGAAAAATTCTTGCATGGCTGCACCTGCTAAGTTGTAAAAGTGCTCCCAAAGGTGTCTCTGGTCCAGGTAGCCCTCTAGCGCTCGAGTTAAAACCCTGGGGAGGTAGTTGAGGGAGGACAGGACAGAAAAAACAGCTTCCAAAAACTCTTCAGTTGCAGTGTAAATATCAGGGGACACTTCTGTTCCTCTGTCCATGCAGAGACCTGAAAGTACATTATCATGGTTATTTTAAGTGATATCAAAATTAAAAATAACCACAATTCTAATAATAACAGGGCTTAACAATATGATTGGTCCAGAGCAAGTTGGAGAGACTTCCAGGATATTTGCCGGGTTTGTCAGTCTGGCTCTATCAGGTGATGCATTGACACTATTTCTTAAGCATACACACACACACACACACAGTTTTTATTATTATTATTATTGAAAGATGTCTCTTATGCTCTCCAAGGCTGCATGTATTTGATTAAATATTGCAACTTAAATACATTTTCTAATTTAATATATTTTAAAATGTAATTTATTCATGTGATGGCAAAGCTGAATTTTCTGCAGCTATTACTTTAGACTTTCAGTTCAATTCAAATGTATCTGTATAGCGCTTTTAGACTTACCCTTTAGAAATTATAATATTTTTTATGGAAACTGGCTTCTTTCAGGGTTCTTTGATAAACAGAAAGTTCAAAAGAACAGCATTTATTTGAAATCGAAATCGTTTGTAATATTATAAATGTCTTTTCTGTCATTATTGATCAAATTAGAGCATCCTTGCTGAATACAAGTATTCATTTCTTAAAATAATACAATCTTACTGACCCCAAACTTTTAAACAGTAGTGTAAATAAAGTACATATCTAAACAAAACACACAAAATAAAACTAAATTTTAAGCTTATTACATATTGCAAGACATCTGTGACTAGCACAGGACATTTATGTCTTGTAAATCAATACAGCAAAACGTCAATTGACTGTCTGGACAAATACAAGATGCGACCACAACAACAAGATGTGACTGAATGCCCTTGTCCAAATGTTGTCAGGCCTGTGGGGTTGTAAAGAATGCAGGTTGGTTGTGCCTTTGGTTCAGCCCCTGTCAGTCTCACTTCCTAGAGATGACAGGCGTTTGAATAAGCAATTGAATGCAAAGCAGCATTCAATGAGTGTCTTTGATAAAAAGCAGGATGCTGTTTGCACTCTTTTGACAAATGTTGGACTGTTTTGAAATGACAGGCCTAAATTGCCGTAAATTGTCGTAGTAGAGCGTGTGGTTAGCTAACACTGCTTTGCTTAACAGGGATTCTGAATTCTGCTGCTGTTGAAGGACGGATGGGAATCGACTCTGCTTTCTTTTGGTGCAAGTGTGAGGAAACAGATATAGAAGCCATTTTACTTTGTGAGACTGTTTGGTGTCTTGTTCTGTCTTTCACTCTAATTATCCAATCATTACTAAAGACAGGTTTACATCAAAGCTGTTTACTTTTTCCATTTGGAATGAATTGATTGTGAAAAATCAATTCTATATGACAGATGGTTAAAGGACAGGAGTAAGAGGAAAAGAAAAGTTTTGAAGACGTGCATTGTTAATTGTTCACAGAACAAAAACATTTATTTTTAGCAATTGTGTAGCGTAATGGCAGTCTATAATCTTTTCCATTCTCGGGCACAAAGGATTTAACGCGTAAAACCATACACTTGCAGTTTACTTTTAGTTTGTCAGGTTATAACAAAAAACAAACTCAAGAAATACTGAAACAATTCCGAGCTTCAAATTAAATATGGTTTTAAGAAACGGTCAAGAATCTGTCTAATAACAAACCCCTTCCTCCTCCTCCTAATTAAAAAACTATTAACTGTTATTTACGCATACGTATTACATATGAAATTGACCATGTGATGCAGTATAATTATTCAAAATATACATACATTAACATAAAAAAAAATCTCTCTTAATATTCAGAAAACTCCTTATGTTACTTATGGCTCAAACTAATGTAAAGATATGAATAATATTAAAAATATAAAATTAAAATAATACATGTTCGGTTAAAATGTCTATTAATGTAAAAGGGAAAGTATATTTTTAACAATTTTTTAAATACCTCACTAGTACAAATTAATTAAATTTGTAGTAAAATAATTTTAACAAAAAATACATAAAAAAATATCGGTTACACTTTATTTTAAGGTGTCCTTGTTCCAGTGTAATTATACATATAAGAACTGAGTAATATTAATTAACTACATGTACTGTACTTACTGCATGGTTAGGGTTACTTGCATGTAATTATGCATAATTAATTGTTATTATAATAGTAAGTACATGTAACATATGTAACAAGGACAACTTAAAATAAAGTGTTACCAAAATATTCTATTAATTCTTATCAATATGCTATGTGTGCAAAATAATTAGCAAAATTCTATTTAAAATAATTACATAACGAATTTAAAATAACACGTTTTTGTTGTTTTTTGCCTTTATTTGATATGACAGTAGCTAGACAGGAAGTGAAGTGGGAGAGAGAAAGTGGGATGGGATCAGGAAAGGTCCGCGAGCCTGGACTCAAACCCGGAATACAACAGCGCTATGTGTCGGCGCGCTTCCCACAAGTCTATCAGCACAGACAATATTAACATTTTACAAAAAGACTTGTCAATAATTAAATGCTATTTAAAATATTTTTATGTAACCAGATTCATTTTGATTTCATGTGAAGAGTCATGGGAATGCAGGTTCCAGCCCGGTCTATCATGTCACAAATTTATTGTTCGATTCCCCGTTTCCAATACATTAAAAGAAAAACAGGCATAAAAAATAACTACAGGCTTTCGTAACAAAACAGTGGACTTTTATAAATAGCCACAAGGGGCAGTAAAGGGCCAGACAGGTTAATGACCTGCCTCTTTGCAATCTTCCATTTACGAGCCACCGGATGTACCGTGATAAATGAACTGCTGGTGTTTCTCAAGGGAAGGGATTCCACAAACCAATTCTATCCTCGGCTAACAAACCTTTGCAACCTTGACATGCTGCCAAGAAACACACCTGTTGATTTTCTACCGGGCCTCACAGATGCGTTTCCACTGGAGGCCCTTAATTGGAACAAGACATTGCTATCAGTTCCTCAAAGAATTCCACGAACAAGCTCCTATTTAGAGCACAGCTTAGCACTAAACGCTCCCAAACTGTGCTGAGAGACAGCGACTGGAGTGAGGAACTTTAAAAGAGGTTTCTCTAAACGGTAGACAACCAAGCCACCGCGTTTCTTCTTAATTAGCCAGGCTGTGGCCAGGCAGTGTTGATTTACGGCGACGTGATTCCAACACCAGAGCGCGCAGGCAGACGTGCTCTTAGCCGAGCTTGGTTATTAATGAGCTCCGCCATAATGTGAATTAATGTGCAAGCACAAAACAGCCTTTAAAGGTTAGACTTTTCAGAGTGGAAGGAAGAAAGAGGAAAATCTTTAAAGGTCATTCACTTTGCTCTCACATGAGTGTTTATTACTGAGCTCTATTGATTCAGAAATGATGAGGAGGGTGATGAGTGCGATGATGAGTGAATAAAACGACATTCTCACAACAGTCCAGATGCATCTCTGATGTGCCTGAGGACGAAACACAAATCTGATGAAGCACACGAGATGGCGGAAAATCCAGGTGGATCTGCCTTACTTCGTAAAATAATAAGTATCAAATGTGTCGGATTGGAACGAGCCTCTCAAGACCTCGGCTAGCATTTACTTGTTAGCAAATTCAACAGAGTGCAATTTCAAATTTTAGACTAGCAATTAGCGATTTCTATGGTGTATTTTGCGAAAATGAAAGGACTCAGCATGGTTCCTCTGCGCAGGTGTTGGGCGACTCGAGCGATGTTACCGTCTTGTGATCAGTTCACGAGTGCACACAACAGCCTATTGAAAATAAGAGACGTACGAAAAGACAACCCATTAAAAACAGGTGCAGGCTATTAAGAGAAGCAAGGTCAGTGGGCCATCCTCACAGCTAATCAGTCTTTCCATCAATAAATCGTGCTAAATTCATTTGTGGAAACCAATGAAAGCGCAGCCGTGCTTCAAAGAGTGTTCCCTCATATTCTCTCATTGCAAGCCACTCTTCTGTGACCTACATCAGACTTAAACATGTGGAGATGAAGCAGCATTTTGGCAACCCAACTTAACTATATTTTTTTATATTTTGCCAACTTTCAGCATGCTTCATTAGAGCAACATCATCTGGAATTTTTGGTAAGGGTACATGCACTTTGTAAGAAGTGTGTCAGGGCTTTAAGAGTCTTACATGAGTATGAAATGATGATCTGTAGCAGTAAGCAGTCCTTGTGAAGGATGGTCTGCAGAAGTAGAACTGGATTGTAACAGGGTTCAGACACCAGTAGCTCAAACAGACATAAAGAGGATCCCTCACAAGCTGGAAAATCCCTTAAACAACAGAAATATATAAATTAAGCTCCTGCCAATGTTCAAAAAATTTCAAATTAATGACTTTTTAAAAATGTTTTGAATTTTTTTTTATCTTATGCTCACCAAGGCGTCATTTATTTGATCACATTTATTTGAAATAATTATTTTCTATTTTAATGTTTTAAAATTTAATATATTCGTGTGATGGCAAAGCTGAAATTTCACCAGCCATTATTCAAGTCTTCAGTGTCACATGATCTTTCAGAAATCTTATATGCTGATTGTTTTTATTTATTTATTTAACTTTTTTATTATTATCAATGCTGAAAACTGTTGTGCTGCTTCATATTTTTGTGGAAACAGGGATACATTTTTATCAGGATTTTTTTTTATGAACAAAGTTCAAAAGATCTATGAACTATATCACCACAAAAATGACGGACAGACAGACAATTAGTCATTTATTCACCAGAAAACATTTCAATGCTGCTTACAAAATACAGATAACTTGACTGGTGTTGGATAAAGTCACATTAAAAACACATTACAATTACAGTTGCTATAGAAAATATTGAAAAGGTAAAGAATTTTAGGAATCCAAGGACATCTCCTCTTCATTCAAATGAACACATTAGAACAACAGTTCTACCACAAATAATTCATTATCATGTGACAGGAATGAAGGCAATGTGTGATAAAAGTACAGTATGGTCAGTGGATTGTACTGTTGTTTAATAACATGCCGATTGTTCAGATGACAAAACATCATCCAAAAAAAAAAAAAAAACTCTAGAAAACCAATTTGAAAGTTTATGATTTTTAAAACATACATGTTATCATATGATCTAGGACCTTTATATAGTTGTAACAACTGTAAGTCTGTTCCTTACAGCCTCATTTTCAACCGTGTAAAAGTCATTATGGCTCCTACCCTGACTGAGGTCAATTAATGCTTTCATAATCTTCTCAATAACTGCACTGCTGTGCTGACAGCAGGTTATTCTGCATACCTTCACCAAACCACATTATTTGGGATACACTAAATAATAAACTAATATATAAATATATATATACAAACATGTATACAAAAAAAATCTGTCTCGTTTCTTGAATGTATTATATTCACATTTAGCCTAAATGTCTACCTCAACTACTATAACTACGCTACAAAAATCTAAAAATAGAAATAAAAACATGAAACCATGAACTGAATCTGGAAAGTTAAAGTGTGGTCACATTAGTGAAATTTTGCAGGCAAAAAAATTTGATTCATTGTCTATTATCAATGGTATAGCAATGTATGAAACACAGCTCACACAGAAGTCACCTTCAAACCAAGCAGTTTTCTGTAGGCCATCGCAACAAATTTATGTGACCAACTTGAACCCGATCTGAAATCCACGTAGAGAAATCCTTTGCCTGCATGTGAAAATTGTAATGAATGGATTCTGTCAGCAACAACTCGCAGAACAACAGTAAATGTGGCCACACCTTTAATCAGCTATGAAATATTATGAAACAGGATATAAATAAAAACGTCAATAGTTCATACAGTTAGCTATAGTTATTGCTATTAATATGTAATTAAGCGTTTTAGTTGTCTTTTATGCAGAATATTCTAAAAGTGTCAGATAAACAGGCCTAATGCAAAAAATAAACTGTCATGCTTACCTTAGCAAACAAACAACACTAATTATCATTATTTATTTATGAGCTTAGGTAAAGAGCAAATGTGACACTCATAAAGACACAATTCTGCTACATAATAGGGGAACATTATGCTTTAGTTAAGCAACAGCTTTGTCATGTCAAAGCACCGGTAATCCACCCAATATCCCACTTTAATGGTCCTGATAAATCTGTAAGCTTCACCATGAGGTCAGGTTTCATTGTATCTTGATCTTCCACGCATGTAACAAAAAAAAAGAGACTACTCTCTGCCCATAATGCTCTGTGATTTATTGATATTTCTTGTCTCTTTTATTACATTTTTATTTAATAATCCAAACTGTCAGTTGGTTGGAGTGTTTGAGTGAGGAGAAGAGTTTGATTTTGGTGTCTGGTCTCTTGGCTATGGTGGGGCCCTCACCACGAGACCCTCAGGGATTCTTGAACACAGCAAGGCTAAATAAATAAATAAAAATGGAGCAGGCAATAAAAATGCATTAATTTAAATCCCTACGACTTCATGGAAGTGGAGTCGGTGGGGCTGACGACCAGTGATTTGTGTAAGCGATGATATCACGCTGGAGTGGGAGTCTGGAGCTGTGCTGGGGGGCTTGAGCAAGGTGATGTGAGATGTGGCTGACATTCTGCCTGGCTTCACAGTCCTCCTACAGGCTCAGTTTCAGCATTTCACACCCGGGCTGAAGACCCGCGGCGCATGTCAGCATAAACAGCATGAGTAACTATGGCATCTGCATCTGGCCTGCATTAGGGCCGTGAGTCTGGGGGTCTGGTGGCTGCAGTAATGTATTAACTGTGTTTGTGTGCATCTAACACATGAACGAAAACTGAAAGGCCACGCTAGCCTCATTTGGGTGAGCCGCAACAACTCCCAATATTGTGTGAGTTATGCGTTTTTCTTGTAATCAAATTTAAAAATGGGCTCAGTAATAAAGGTACAGAGCAATATGATGATGTTTTTCATGTCTCATGCAGTCTTGTGTTACAAATATTTTATTATATTATTATAAAAAAGTAATATTAGTATTATTAATTTTTTTGTATTCTTCCTAATATTATTACTATTTATTTCATTTGTCTACTGTCAAACACACACAAAATAAACTCTCACAAAGGTACACAAAGTAACTAATGTGCCCATTTCTGTGATCGTGTAAATTTGAATGAAATTAAAA